TTCCCACAATACCAAGAGGAGGAAGAGAATGGTATACAAAATATTTAATTAACCTAATGAGACACAGTATCTCTCTTATCTCTAGTACACACATCAAGAGCACACTGAATGATTATCATTACAATGATTGATTTCATTTCACTTAGAATTTTAAGCCTAATTAATTAAAATTCTAAGTGAATCGAAATCATGAATCAAATCATTGTAATTTTAATGATTATTTTTCTAATAAATTCCTTTTTCTTATTTTCTCTTTTGTATTATAATGTAAGGTGGTTGTACTCTTGATGTGTGTACTAGAGACAGTCGTGGATAAGAGAAGAGAGAGTGGGTGTGTCTCATTGTTACAATTCACAGTCTCTACTCATCTGGTAATGAGGTCATAGACCATTAGGTTAATTAAATATTTTGTATACCATTCTCAGCCTCTCCTCTTCAGTAAACTATTTATTATCAAAACGTGTACACATGATACACTGTTCTATACACAGCACTGAATCACAGACCACACAATGGAAGATGTAAGATTAGAGAAAGTGGAGATATACATGTACATGAAGATACAAAACAAAAACAACAACAACAACAACAACAACAATAATAATAATATAAAATATAATTAAACTATCAGTTTGGGCTCTCAATGATTAGTGAGTCTATTGATGATGGAATGAGAATGGATTCATTATCGTCTGCTGAAACCACACCCTATCCATTAATGAATAATTAACGGTAATGAATATTAATTACCTCATTATCTTCGTTCCATTCTCTATACAGTCCAATCAGATACTTTGATGATCTAATAAAACAAAATAAACAAATTTATTTGATTTAGTTAATAACTAACGTCACACTATACATGTACATGTACATTATGTTCATTTTAAATTAATTTTCCATGCAGCCCCTATACAACAGTCTTAAGCCTCAAAGCCTGCATGCTTCCATAGCTACAGCACAGTCTTACAACACTTTTGGAACAATCCTGGAGATTGAAATCAGGTCTATCTCTACAACAGTTGTCTCCTAACCACAGAATCAATACAACAGCTGCAACTACCAACCTTCATTAATCATAATTAAGTTACACATGTACATGTAATAAAGAGACTACATTATAGTGGTTTACCTTTTAAGGTGATAAGGATCAAACGGGAAAATGGTTTCTAGTGACGTATTTCCGCTAGTGGGCGTGGTCAAAACAGGTAAATAGCAACGTTTGTTTTCCTCAATGACGGAATAACAATAAACAATCTCATATTTACTAAACAATAACAATATAATTCATGATTAGTGGGAGTGGCTAATTACCTCATTATTGATGCAAATAGCTCAACAACTGAACCAAGACACACCTATCATTAATAACCATTAATAACTATTAATAACTAGTGGTTATTAACTAATAAACTTACTTTTAACGGATTAAGTTTTGATGTTATAATGCGGTCAATGTTCAACTTACACAGAAAAGATAAACCTGAATAATAAGTACAAGTACACATGAATACATGAGAATATAACCAGTCATTAATGTACATGTACATACAATTACATGTACATGTACAGTAAATGA